GAGAGCACCAAGGATTTCACAGCTTCGAATACTGTTTTCTACAGTGTTCTTCATACTAAAACATTATGTTATAAAGCATTTGTAATATTAATCTCTGGAAGCCTCATTTAGCTATATTAAAATAAAAACTAGTTTTCAAGCCATAAAACTTTTGACCTACATAACATCTTTACAATCAACTGCAAAACTAAGCACTCAATTTCTTGGCTGCAGCAGCAAACTTTGCAATTCGTCCCCTAATAAAATTGTTCTCACCTATCATCTTGAATTTACGTTCCATTGTGGAATGAAGGTCAGGAAAATCCTTCTCATATCCTTTCCCCAAAACTAAATAATTTGAAATATCTTTAGTTGTTGCATGACTGCTGATGCAATGAACCAAAGGGACATGAATATTTCTTATCTGAAAGTGAGACACAAAGAGAAGTTAAAGCAAATGAAATCAGGATTGGCTTTTAAATACGTGATTTGATTGATTGTGCTGTTGACCCTTAGCAACCACACAGATTTTTATCTAGATTAAACTGTCCTGAAACGGGCCCTGCAATGGTGTAATGCTGGTGTAGCTGGTCCCATCCATCTTGCCACTGGTCATCCTCTTTCCTTCTGATTTTTCCAGCATTATAAACCACTCAAGGAAGTTGGCCTTTTAATGAAATGTGTCCAAAATGTAATTTGAACCTGGCTGCAATCAAGGATCTTGGAATACTCATCTCTAATGATCTAAGTGCTTGAGCTCACTGTAACTACATAGCCAAAAAGGCATTAAGAGTTGTTAACCTAATCTTACGTAGCTTTTTCTCTGGTAATATTACACTAATAACTAGAGCATACAAAACATTTGCTAGACCAATACTTGAATGCAGCTCATCAGTCTGGAAACCACTTTACGTATCTGATATTAGCACAGTTGAGAAAGTCCAGAAATATTTCACAAGAAGAGTTCTACACTCCTCTACTCATTGAAGAATACCTTATGCCACCAGACTTGAAACTCTAGACCTAGAAAACCTAGAACTACGCTGCCTTCGGTCCGATCTAAGCATAGTATATAAAATCATACATTGCAATGTCCTACCTGTCAATGAATACTTCAGCTTCAACCATGACAATACAAGAGCACACAATAGATACAAACTCAAGGTTAACCGCACCAAACTTGATTGCAGGAAATACGACTTCAGCAACAGAGTGGTCAATGTCTAGAATACTCTACCTCAGGGGTCCCCAACCGCCGGTCCGCGGCGGGCCGCTGGTTGCTGGGCGCCGCCATCTTTTTTTGGTAAAAAAGTGCTTCCGGTGAGCTTTTCCGGGTAGAAAGCTCACCGGAAGCACTTTTTCATCAAAAAAAGATGGCGCCAGCGCTTCCAGTGAGCTTTTCCGGGTAGAAAGCCATTTCTACCCAAAAAAGCTCACCGGAAGCGCTGGTGCCGCCATCTTTTTTGACGAAAAAGATGGCGGCGCCCAGCTGATGCCGGTACCGGGCCGCGGCGTCAAAAAGGTTGGGGATCACTGCTCTACCTGACTCTGTGGTTTCTTCCCCAAACCCCAAAAACTTTAACCTTAGACTGTCTACTATTGACCTCACCCCTTTCCTAAGAGGTCTGTAGAGGGCGTGCATAAGCGCACCAAAGTGCCTACCGTCCCTGTCCTATTGTTTCTTTTATTTTTCTTATATGTATCCATTTCATGTACTCATAACTATGTTTATTCTTATACCTATTATCTTGTAAGCGATTGACAAATCAAATTAATCTAAATCTAATCTAAAAAGAAATGTGATTAGTTTTACTTATTTAATTTATATGGCTACTAAACTCTATGGTGACTCTAGATGGCAAAACCTTAGAAACAGTATGAAAAGAATATAAGAATATAATAAAGAAGACAGAACAATGACACTTATTCCCATAAAAGGCCTGCCATCCATCCCATAACCCAAGACCTTGGGAAAAGCCAGATTTTAAGGAACACTTGAAGGAAGTGAGGAAGCTGTTCCAGAAGGCAGTCACTGTAATAGAGAAAGCCCATTTCCTGAGTCCCATTCGTACTATTTTTTTTTGTCAACCCCAGAATCATAATTGGAAAACTGTCTGATCTATGCACATATATAACAGTTATATATTGTGGAGCAAAATGCCAAAATTTAGAAACAACTTTGCCTCTGTGAGTTGCTCAGGATACACAGTCTCAGCAAACAAAAAATAGGACAGGATTATAATTTAATACTTTCTTAGAAATCTGTCCACTTGGCCAGAAAAACAGACCATAAACACCCCAATCCATTTTTATATTAGGCCACCAATGTAATTTTATTTTAAACAGGCCTAATTTATTAAAATTGCTCAGATTTCTTTTAGAAAATGCACTATTTCACCTCTAAAAGAACCCTTGGTTTACTTGATGTATACCTCTTTACTCGAGCAAGAGCTTAAAATAGCTAATATAAAATCAAATCAAAAACAGAAGATAAAAAAAAATTAACAACACAAATTAAAGTTCGTGATAAAATATTTAAATCAAATCTTGATGAAAGAGAACCATCAGCCGGTTTTGTAAGCATAACTTTTAAAAGAACACATTTCATAGCCTGGGAAGAACAAATAATGTCTCAAGGGAAAATGGATTATTTTCTTCAAATGAGTCTCCTCTAGAGTGCCTTAAAACTATACCAATTGGGAACAGGCCTTTAAATACTCAGATTAGATCTGCTTAGTCCAGATATTTCAGGGTAGTTTCCAATAGTAACTCTACTCAAATCACATGTGCATAATCAAAAGGGTTATTAAGGCAAGGATAATAAGATAAGATAAATTTATTGTCATTGTGCTCAGGAACCTGAGAACAACGAAATAAGGTGCTCTTTCGCAACATACAACTAAACAACACCAAAAGATGTATACAAATAACAATATAAAACAAATTAAAGCAAATAACAATTTAAAAACTGTACAACCAGGATATATGTGTTAAGACCACCAGATTCATAACTCTGCATTTAACCTGATCACAGCACTTGGGTAAAAGCTATGTTGAAATCTACTTGTCTTGGCTTTCAGCACTCTATATCGTCTTCCTGATGGTAGGATCTCAAACATCGGGTGGCCTGGATGCGAAGGGTCTCTCAAGATCTTTTGTATCTTCCTTCTACATCCCATGTTGTACAAATCCTCCAATGAGGGAAGAGGACATCCGCTGATCTTTTGTGCCCTTTTTATCACTCTTTGGAGTGCCCTTTTCTCCGCCTCTGTACAACTCCTAAACCACACACAGAGGCAATAAGATAAAATGCTCTCTATAGAGCTTCGATAAAAGGCAAGCAACAGACTTTCTGGCAGTTGTTGTGATCTTAAAAGTCTTAAAAAATAGTCGTTGATGAGCCTTTTTTTCTAGGGATAAAGTATTTGACCCCCATGTTAGATCCTGTTTCAGGGTGATACCTAAAAACTTACATTCTGCCACCTGTTCTACCAAAACACCATCGATGTACAACGGCTGAATGTCCGAACTGCTCTTCCTGTAATCCACTATGAATTCCTTCGTCTTATTTATATTAAAAATAAGATTGTTTACTTTGCACCAGAGGGACAGCTGATGAACTTCATCCCTGTAGCAGACTCATCATTATCAGAAATGAGTCCCACCAACGTTGTATCATCTGCAAACTTAATGATCTTATTACTCAGATGAATGGAGGTGCAATCAGATGTATAAATAGTGAATAAAAGTGGACTCAATACACAGCCCTGAGGAGTGCCAGTATTGAGGATCTTCGCAGAAGAGATATGTCCATTCATCCTAACCCTTTGTGAACGATGTGATAAAAAGTTTAGAATCCACCAACATATGGAGTCCGGTAGCTTCAGATCTTTAAGCTTAGACATCAATCTGTGGGGTAATATTGTGTTGAAAGCAGAACTAAATAATATTCTTATTAATCAAATAATCAATACTGAACTTGATTAGCCCAGGAATGGAAATAGTTGGCGTTCTAAACGCAATTGTGCAAAGACACTTCTTGCCATTGCCAATACTTGCAGATCTGATGATAAGAGTCCCTGCGGATTTTACTCCACTAATCATTGCCGAGTTTAGAAGGTGGTGCTCATCTGTTTCAAGGCCACTGAGTCAGCACTGTACAAAGACATTTATATTGTAATGTGGCTAGCATGACGCTATGAAGCAGTTATCTTCTTGTCAAAGTGGTACCTATTTATCTACTAGCATTTGCATGCTTTTGAATTGCTAGTTTGGTAGGAGCTGGGGTGAGGACGGGAGTTCATCCTGTCACATGTTGCTTGGGTCTCAAACCTGGGCTGCCAGTTGACAAAGCCAGCATTTTAATAACTGAGCTGCCCCCCCACCCACCGATGAGAAGTAGGAATTGTGAAGTATTCCCAGACATTCTGTCTACAATGGACTGACCATCTTCCCGTCCTGTTTCCCATCTACCAACAGCATGTCCATTTTGTCAGGTTTTAAATGCAGTTTTCTCTCCCTCATCTCGTCCGCTTAAGCAATTATGGATGTCAAAGAATTCCCCTGAATTTGATTTTTCGGAAGTAGGAATTATACTCCTCGGGACACTAAGACCACAATCCCAGAAATTAATACGGAAATGGATTCAGACCAATACTTGAGCACCACAACTCAAGTGTTCCCTGATCCATGGAATTAAGTACAGATAATCTTTGATTTACAAACTAAGTGAGTGTTGCTAAGTGATTGTTCAAAGTTAGAACAGATGTTGAAAAAGGGATTTATGACCCAGATTTAAAGTTCTGATGGCTGCTCCTCCCCCATCATGTGACCACATTTTGGGCACTCTGCAATGGCCTGCATTTGTGGCCATTTGCAGTGTTCCACAGTCACGAGACCGTGATTTATGACATTTTTTCTGGGAGAGCAGCAGCCTCATCTTTAAAGACAAGAATCTTCTGTTTCACAAATAGCTGCCTCTCCCTGAATTATATCCCAGCGACAAACATTTGTTTCTAGCTTTTCAAACGCTCTGAAGAGCTGCTCCCAAGGGCTTTGTCAAGCACTCTGAAGCCATCCAATAATTGAGAAACGAGGGAATCTTTGCATTTTAAAATCAATATTTTATTTTACTTGATGTGCAAATAAATATTTTTTTAAAAACTACATTTAAAGAATTGCAAAGCAAATACAAGCCAAAACCAATTTTTTTAAAAAAAGCAAGAGATCCTTCAGAAAAACCGAAGAATTATTTTCTTGTCTTCTCTTCCGACTATTGACAGGTCTCTGTTGGTTTCATTGTGGCCCTTGCTAACACCACACAGAGCGATGAGAAGGATACAAAGGAGAGAGTCTTGCTTTGTCCACTCAGATTATAAATTAATTGATTTATAAAAGGATGTGTAAAGATGGCTTTGAAAAAGTTTGAGGAGAAAGAGGAGAGGAAGGAGGGTGGGTCTAGGAGGGGATAAAATTCTCAAACTTCACGATGCCCCCGCCCCCCCCAATCAAACACACATTAAGCCACAAGCTACCGTTTAGTAGTAGTTTCATAACAGAATTTGGCACAGGCAGTCGTCTCTGCTCAGGTGGAGCATAAGAAGACACGATTAAAAATCTGGGAGAAGAAGCTGCTGGAGACAAAGGTGGTAGAACTGGGACTTCTGGATACTGCTCAAGGCAAAATTGCATCCTCTCCCTTGGCTGCAAGGGGAATATGAGAAGAGGGGGGGGATACAACCGCATATTTTGCAAGTCGAAGAAACCCCTAGGCACCAAGGACTTTATGGAAGCAGGGAGGGCAGTACCCCCCCTAATTGGGAGTCCCAGAGCTTCAGCACAAAACCCTCAAACCCTACATGGGGGGGGGGGGGGTTCTTTCCACTGAACAGTCCAGCATCTCTGGACATGCACCTCATATCCAGAGACGGGATCTGCAAATCTTGTTGCCTAAGAGGCACCCAAATGAGAAACTAGGATGGCATAGGTAAGTGAACACACCAGAGCCTGTGTGGAAGAGAAGACGCTTTGAATCTTATCCAGGCCAAATTTTAGACTTAGGTTTAAAAAAATGAAAAAGAAAAAAGGGTTTGGAGATGGGTGGAGAAAAAATACAAATCCAAACCCTCTTAAATTCTTTGCACTGATGGTTCTCGAAGGAATCTTGGCTTCTCCTATTTTCAAAAGCCCTAGTTGTCCATGGTGCAGCATCTACTTGCATCACTTCTCTAAGTAAGAAGGTGCCAAGGTATATTGGCGACTCAAGCCGTACCACCCACAGAATTAGGACATAGGGGGAAAGGGAGAGAGGAAGCCAAAGTCGCCACATTTGGTATTTTGTTTCCTGCTCAATGATACAAAAAGGTTACGGTTGCAGAGACCTCACCCCCAATGTCAAGGGCAACAATTTTGGAACTTCTCAAAGAGCAATGGCCTGTCTCTTCTAGCCCTCTGGCCTCTTTCCTCCTACCATTCCATCTCTCTCTCTCTCCTGGCCTAAGTGGAAAGCTCCCCCTTTAAACGAGAGCGACACAAGCTGCCTCCATTCTGCTGTGGGTCCATTCTTTCTCGGACAAGCACACCCATGCTGCATGGGGTAGGGTTGGGGGGTGGGGTGGGGAAGAAAATCATCGCAGCCCCCGAGGGGGACCCCAAGCGATAAAAGCTGGTTGGATAAATACCAGTGATACATAGGGCGTCTTCCCAAAAGTCCATGAGGGCCACTGGAATTTGGGGGGTGGGGTTGGGCAGGTGGGAAGGCGGACAGACTGGAAGTCAGGGAGAGGCGGGCTGGCGGCTGTACTGCACGTGGTAGCGGCTGACAGGCACCCCGTGTATACTGACAGTCTCACACGTAGTTTTGCAGGGCAGCAGGTCCTCATCCTCATCCCCCATCAGCCAGTCCTGGACCATCTCGGCTGCTTCTCGGTTGACATGCCTCGCGAGCCAGCGCCGGTGCCACTCTTCAAAGCGCTGGTGGTGCCGCAGCAAGACTCGAGGCGCCGCCTGCAAGAGAGATGGGGGGGAAAAGGGAAGGATCACGGGTGGCCTGGGAGCTTTAGTCTCTCAAGCACAGGGGTGTCAAACTCAAGGCCCAAAGGCCGGATCCAGCCCTATGGGGCCATCCTGGAAAATGTAAGGGGCTGGCCCATGTCGCTTCAGCCCGGTCTACCCAATGCGAAGAGGAAACATGCCAGCAGTTTGGGGAGTGGCGTCAAGCTGTTCACGCCCATCCAGTCGGCCACGCCCGCCTGGCCCCCCCAAGGTCAACCACAGCCCCGATGCGGCCCTCAGTGAAATTTGAGTTTGACACCCCTGCTCTAGCAGGCTCGAGAGGGGCCATTCTAGAAGGTGCACCTGTTTGGCTCGAGACAGCGCTCCCCGACGGTACATGTAATCTTCAGCGTTCATGATGAAGAGCATCTTGTGGGTGTTTAACTTGAACTTGCAATCCACGTTGCAGGCACTCTCCACGCCGATCAGCTGCTTCCAGGAACTTTTTGCTTTGTCCCGCATGGCCTGGATCTGCTGGCACTGCCATCGCCGGAATTTGTCAAGGTTCCTGAAAGGGGAAAAGAGGAGAGACCTCAAACCTGGGTTACTTTGGGGGAAGGAGGCAGCGGGGGAGGCAGCGGGGGAGTGGCACCCCCAATCACTCCTCTTAAATCTCTCTGAAACAGGTAAGTCCTTGATTTATGACTGGTTGCTTAGGATCATTTGAAGATATGAAGAGACTTCCCAAAAGGGACTTATGCCCTGATTCCAAAGTTCCAACAGCTGAGCCGTCCCACAGTCACATAACCGCATTTGGGGTGCTTTGGGATTTATGGATGTTTGCAGCATCCTGTGTTTACATGACTGTGTTTCATGATGTTTTTGCCAAAAAACAAAAACAAAACAGTGTTTACTTCCAAAGTTCAGCAGAAATGCCCTATTAGCAGTGGTGACTAACCTTTTTGGGCTCCTGTGCCAAAAATTGCGAGCGCGCCAGCACGCCCCTACTTGTGTGCCAGCACCCAGAATGCAATGCATGTCCCCCCCCATGTCCCCTGCGCATGCGCCGCAATCCCCACCCCCACCCCCTTACCTGCACTGTGCCTCACAGCTGATTTTTCAGCTGGTTTGAGGCCTTTTTCAGCCTCCTAGAGGCTTGGAAAAAGCTTCTGCAATTATAGGCCTGTTTCGTCACTTCCTGTAATACCGGAAGTGACGAAACAGGGCTATAATTCAGCCTGAGAAGCCTTGCAGAGGCTTTTTCCTCTGGGGAGGCCAAACAAAGGCCTCAAACCAAGTGAAAAAATATCAGCTATGAGGCGCGGGCATGCGCAGTGAGGTAAGTTTGCCTGCGGCTTGTGTGCCAGCACAAATGGCTCTGCGTGCCACTTGTGGCACGCATGCCATAGGTTCACCATCATGGCCCTATAGCAAATGATGGGTTTGCTTAGTGACCACCACAAAAAAAAGTCATAAAATTGTATCAATCTCACTTTATGGCCTTCACAACTTATGACCATAATGGGCAGGCTCTATTACCGTACAGGGGAATTCTGATCGCCAGCCAAAATGCAAGCCACACTGTTATGGTCTGAAACTATGCGCACACAGACTCATCATCCTATTCATTTCCAGAATAAGCAATGTTATGCAAAAGATCAGAAAAAAACGCCAAGGAAATTAAAGGCACGAGATTAGATAAATGCAGCTGAGTCTAGTTTACGCCAAAGTAATAAACTTCACTCTCAGTCTTTACCCTACCTCTCCTTCTTTTACCAGGCACCCCTTTTCAAGATCCCATTCCCGCTGCATTCTGTCTCTTTTGATTCTCAACTTTCACTTCCCTAATTAACAAAGTGGGCCTTATACAAAGCTGTTTTTAATTTTTGAAACATACATTCACTCTTGTCATCAGAGTACAAATTACCCACTACAAAGTGTGTGGATTCTTTAGGGGTGTCTGTAATCCTGTAGTAGTCTGACAGCCAAAACTTCATGTAAATCCTATTCAGCAAAATTTCAAGCAGATTCACTTTATAATGCTTTCCTTAAATCAGCTTCTCAAACTAGGCTGGCTGGCTGGGAAATTGTGGGATTGGAAGTCCACCCAGTCCTAAGTTTTTGCAGCAATCATTCACTTAAATACCCTTTTCTTCTCTTGTAGCATTCTTCGCTTCATCAATCCACCAAGAGTCTTTTTTTTTTGTCTTTCTGATTAGCAGTTAACCGTATTTTTCTATGTATACGACAATACTGTTTCTTTAAAATATTTACCTAAAAGTGGAGGGGTGTCTTATACATGGGGGGGGGGGGAAGGCAAGAAGAGAACTGCGGTTGCGAGACTGCCGACACCTTATCTCTGCAAACTAGCCTCACGAAGGAAACTTCCGATTGCAGAGACAAGCTAACAGGTTTCCTCCAATCGTGAGCCTTATGTAACTGAGGTCAGCTGATGTTGCGGACAGCATGTAGCCAGTGCCCAGATGCGACAGGGAGCAGTACAAGGAATAATGGATGGAAACTGAACAAGGAGAGATTTAACCTGGAAATCAGGAGAAACTTTCTGACAGTGAGAACAATCAACCAATGGAACAGAAGTTGCCCTCAGAAGTTGTGGGAGCTTCATCACTGGAGGCTTTCAAGAAGAGATTGGGCTGCCATCTGTCAGAAATGGTGTAGGGTCTCCTGCTTGGGTGGGGGGTTGGACTAGATGACCTACAAGGTCTCTTCCAACTCTGATTATCTGTTAAATCTGTCAGTAATGTCAGTGTTCTGAGCCCATAAAAATGTCAGGAAACAAAAAATAAATAAATACTGGTACCAGTAAGCGGATGTCTTACTCTACAAAATAAATGCCTTCTATTGATTTCTGAATTTTGGGTAAGAAAAGGGGTGGGTGGGGGAACGTCCTATACATGGGGGCGTCTTATAGATCTAAAAATATGGTAACAGCAGAATGAAGAAGGATGGAAACCAAAAGGGAAAAAAGCAACTCACCTCTGCAGGAAGACCGGCTTTAAGAGGAAGCCTTCATTCTGACTGCTCGGGGTCCCTTCCACTCCCACATACTGCTCCACATAATTAGTCAAATGCTGGAGGAGACAGATAAGGCAACCCGTCACTCTCTTCTCCGATACAGGAAGTCTGAGGCAAAACATCCTTTTCTGCCCTCCTGGGAACATTTTGTTCCATGCATTCTCTAAGGAACAGGAGGTCAATTTCACCTCTGAGGGAGGGGAACGAGGTTAGAATTACCTGGACTTCCATGGGGTCTTCGGTTTGAGTCTCTTCTGTGTCCAAAAGTTCAATGGTCATGATCACTTGGTCCTTCCTTTGAAGGAACATCACCTGTGAAAAAGAGGCAGCATGCAGAACAGAGGCCCAAGGGAAGGCTGTCCACACCCATAGGCACAAAGGTGAGACATCTCCAAAATGCATCCCCTCCCACTTGGGACTGTATGACTGTAATTTGGTCGCTTGTATCCTTACGATCTATATTGACTGTTTCCTAGTATGATTTGATTGCTTATTGCACCCTATGACTATCATTAAGTGTTGTCCCTTATGATTCCTGATGAATGTATCTTTTCTTTTTATGTACACAGACAGCATATGCACCAAGACAAATTCCTTGTGTGTCTAATCACACTTGGCCAATAAAGAATTCATTGATTGATTCATTCAGGTTTCTCATTAGGTGGGTAATAGAATAGGCTACCTTTAAAAGTTCAACAGAGAAGATACTGCCAATCTTGGAATCAACCTCCCACGATTTGGTAACCTTCAGACTTACAGGATTTCAGTTTTGATCGTATCAACCGGCAACTGAAGTCCAACATATCTAACCATCCTCCACTGAGGAAAAGGAAGGCGGGGAAGGTTGTGTTGGGAAAGGGGCTGCTGTACCTTGAAGCAGTTCTCATCCGCCATGCAACGTTCCGCCTTCCATTGGTAGCTGGTCTCCTTTGCGGCTCGTACACATTGAGAAGACAGATTGCCACCAGCTGCTCCATGCTTTCGCTCGCTGAGGTACAGCTCCACAACTTTCAGACAGACGTCATCACTCACTAAGTGATGCAGCTGTTTGCCCCCAAAACAAGCAGATGGAGGAGAAAGAGTGAGAGAGTGAGAATGAGAGAGTGAGAGTAAGAGAGTGAGCAAGTGAGAGTAAGAGTGAGAGTGAGTGAGAGTGAGCGAGTGAGAGTGAGTGAGAGTAAGAGTGAGTGAGAATTAGAGACAGACAGTGTGAGAGTAAGAGTGAGTGAGCGAATGAGAGTGAGTAAGTGAGAGTGAGTGAGAGTGAGAGTAAGAGCGAGTGAGAGTGAGCAAGTGAGAGTGAGTGAGAGAGAGAGTGAGTGAGCGAGTGAGAGAGAGTGAGCGAGTGAGAGTGAGAGAGAGTGTGAGAGAGAGAAAGAGTGAGTGAGCGAGTGAGTGAGTGAGAGTAAGAGTAAGAGTGAGTGAGTGAGCGAGTGAGAGAGAGTGAGAGTGAGAGAAAGTGAGTGAGCGAGTGAGAGTGAGCAAGTGAGTGAGAAAGAGTAAGAGTGAGTGAGCGAGTGAGAGTGAGCAAGTGAGAGTGAGTGAGAGTGAGAGTAAGAGTGAGTGAGCGAGTGAGAGTGAGTGAGAGAGAGAAAGAGTAAGAGTGAGTGAGTGAGTGAGAGTGAGAGTGAGTGAGAGAGAGAGAGAGAGAGAGAGAGAGAGAGAGAGAGAGAGAGAGAGAGAAGCAGAAAATACCAACATCAAGC